TGCCTCGTCAGTGGCTTGAGCCTGCAGGGCTCGATACTTTGTCTCCAGAATGTGACGCCACACCCTTCGAATAGATTCGACGTGTGCTTGGCCAGGGTTGGTCAAATGTGAAGCGTGGATAACGTGAGCGCGAGCCAGATCAGGTCGGGTATACTGCGTGAGGTAGGCAAGGTAGCCTACAAGCTCTTGATAGGTCTTCTTCCGAGCTTCGTTTGGTTCCTCAAGAGATTGTTCTAGGTAATTTACTAGCATAGGCACCTCTGAAGGGCGGCCAGTAGAGATAATGTTGTACTTGGCAGCAACCTTGTCAATGTAAGCGTCCTGAACCAAGTAAATCGTGCGTGCGCTGAGATCTCGAACGACGCGTATGCCCAGGAACTACTTGAGTTCTCTGAGGCATTTCAGTCTATAATGCTTATTGAGCTTCTTCTTGAACTCTTGGTGTAGATGTTGGTTTGATGGGTGGAAAGCCATGACGATATTGTCAACGTAGACGAACATGATCAACCAGCTGTTGACGTAGACGCATGGAAACCCTGGTATAGGCGTCATGCCCAGAGACTTCAGCGTCTCTCTCAGGTCCTTGTACCATAGCAGTGGTGATTCCTTCAGTCCGTACAGGGCTCTCAGTACCTGTAGAAGCTCTCCATCTCTCTTGAACCCATCGGGTGTCTGAGCGTAGAGCTTTTGATTGAGTGTAGCGTTGAGAAACGCGTTCGGTACGTCGTACTGAAGTAGCTCTAATCCGAATTGATTGGCTATTGCGATAAGTGCTCGAAATGTTCAAGCAGCTAGTGTAGCAGCGTAGGTGTCTCCGTATGGCTGTTGTAGGTCGCCACGGACGACAAGTCGTGCCTTGAATCAATAGAGGTAGCCGTCCTCATCGAACTTGTATGTGAATACCCACATCAGGGGTAGCACCTCTGCATCAGCAGTCTCTGCTGTTTGTGTCGTCTTGGCGAAGCAGCCTTTGCCCCAGATCTCGCGGTACTCCTTCTGCGCAGCCTGTCGAAACTGCTCTCCAAACGGATGAGATTCGAGCT